GTTAAAATGTCCATACTACCTAAAGCAATCTACAGATTCAATGCAATCCCAATCAGAATCCCAAGGACATTCTTCACAGAAATAGAGCAAAGAATACTAGCATTCATATGGGGCAACAAAAGACCCGTATAGCTAAAGCAATCTCGAAAAAGAAGAACAAGGCTAGAGGTATCACAATCCTGACTTCAAAACATACTACAAAGCAATAGTAATTAAAACAGCATGGTACTGGTACAAAAACAGACACACAGATCAATGGAACAGAATTGCAAGTCCAGAAATAAAACCTCATATCTATGGGCAGCTAATCTTTGACAAAGGAACTAAGGACAGTGGAGAAAGGAAAGTCTCTTCAATAAATGGTGCTGGGAAATCTGGACAGCCACTTGCAACAGAATGAAAGTAGACCACCTTCTTTCACCATACACAAAAATTAACTCAAAATGGATCAAATATCTGAAGGTGAGACCTGAAACTATAAAACTCCTGGAGGAAAATATAGGTAGTACACTACTTGCCATCAGCCATAAAGAGATTTCTTGAATTCCATGTCTACTCAGACAAGGGAAACAATAAATAAAAATAAACAAGTGGGACTTCATGAGATTAAAGAGCTTCTACAAGGCAAATGAAACCAGGATCAAAATGAATAGGGAACCCACCAGCTGGGAAAAAATATTTGCAAACCGTATATCTGACAAGAGATTAATCTCCATAATATATAAAGAACTCAAAAAACTGAATAACAAAAAACAAACGACCCAATCAAAAAATGGGCAGAGGAAATGAACAGACACTTCTCCAAAGAAGATATACAGATGGCCAATAGGCACATGAAAAGATGCTCAACATCTCTAGTCAATGCAAATCAAAACCACACTAAGATATCACCTTACACCAGTTAGAATGGCTATAATCACGAAGACAAAAAGCAACAAATGCTGGAGAGGCTGTGGAGAAACAGGAACCCTAATCCACTGCTGTTGGGAATGCAAACTGGTGCAGCCTCTATGGAAAACAGTATGGAGATTCCTCAAAAATTTAAAAATAGAAATACCGTATGATCCAGCTATCCCACTACTGGGTATCTACCTAACGAACCTGAAATCAACAATCCAAAGAGGCTTATGCACCTCTGTGTTCATCACAGCATTATTCACTATAGCCAAGACATGGTAGCAACCGATGTGTCCCTCGACTGATGAATGGATAAGGAAGATGTGGTATATATATACCATGGAATACTACTCAGCCATAAAGAAAGACAAAATCGTCCCATTTGCAACAACGTGGATGGACCTGTAGGATATTATGTTACATGAAATAAGCCAGAAAGAGAAAGACAAACAGTGCATGGTTGCACTCATATGTGGAAGATAAACCAACACATGGACAGATAGAACTGCTTGGTGGTTACCAGGGGCTAGGGGGGTAGGGGGTGGGCACAAGGGGTGGAGGGATGCACTTATATGGTGACTGATAGACAATAATGTACAACAAAAATTTCATAATGGAAAAAAATGAAAAAAAATAGGAGTTTAAATTTTATTATTTTAGAGTGCTATGGATTTTTAAACAGGATATGTAACTCAGAATCCATAAAAGAGGGCCGGCCCCGTGGCTTAGCGGTTAAGTGCGTGCTCTCCGCTGCCGGCGGCCCGGGTTCGGATCCCGGGTGCGCACCGAGGCACCACTCCTCCGGCCATGCTGGGGCCGCGTCCCACATACAGCAGCTGGAAGGATGTGCAGCTATGGCAGACAACTATGTACTGGGGCTTTGGGGGAAAAATAAATAAATAAAATCTTTAAAAAAAAAAAAAAGAATCCATAAAAGAAAATTTTGATACATCAATTACATAATATTTTTAAAATTCTGCATGGCAAACAAAGACCATTAATAAAGTCAAAAGGATAATAAAGTTTTTAAAAAGACACATATATATGACAATTTTCTTAATACAGAGAATGTTCTTTAAAATATATATTTAAAAGACAATAACACAGTAAGAAATGGGTAGATGTATGAATGGACAATTTATAGAAAATGTAAAAGCCTTTTAAATATATGAAATGAAGCTCCATTTCATTCATAATTAAAGAAATTATTAAAAATAAAAGAAAGCTTAACTGATAAGCAGAAGTCAAAAACCTTAGTAATACACAAGGTTTGGGGAAAATAAGTATTCTGCCTAATCTCCACTATTGGGTATATATTAATAAAATATCTAGAAGACAATTTGGTTGAACCATATAGATTACTATGAGTATGTTCCTGTCTTGAATAGTACTTTATTTTCCCTGAAATGAATAATTAGTTATCATATTTTTCTATTTTAATTTCTTTTACCGTTTTATATGTTGTTCCTCAGTTCATCAATGACTAACTTCCAATGTTCTGCCAGGGTTGGGAAGTAATCATTGCTTGTTATGCAGGCACTGGTAGAGAACATGGCTGGTCTGTTACTATACATTTTCTCAGGCAGTTTTCCTATTTTCATCCACCCCTCCCCCTGCCCAATTGTCCTCAAAACACACAAACACAGCACCATCTACCTCAATTATTCAAAGGTAATTGGTGCTTCTGATTCCTAAACCCTTCCATGAGGGTACAGCACACATCGTGGTGCTTCTTGTTGGCTTCTCACACTAGATCCAGGATTCTTCTTTATTTGATCTGCTATGTAAGTTTTCATTTCACCATATACTGCTCACTCTCTAGAATTATGTTGACTTCACTGTCTGCTGTCATCTCCCCTACTGTTCTTCTTGTAGGTTTATGCACTTTTTAGTATCTTTACTATCTTTTTAATAGGGTTTCATGGTTTACAGGGATGAATATGCATGCTTAATCTTCCATTGGCACTGCAAAACTATCTCACTTGAGGCCTTGTTGTAAGAAAGCCAACAGATCTGTGTCCTGGCCAGGAATAAGATGAGGGGCACTGTTAATGATTTAGATATGTTATTTCTACAGTCATGTTTGTGTCCCTCCCCTTCTTTTTGAATCTCACCCTATGCCTAGCATCTGATTTACTAAAAAAGAAATCAGGATAAATGTTCCTTTCCTCTCTTTTCATTGCTGTTACTTGTGAGATTCTGTTCCTCCTCTTTTCTTCTCTTCCCTTCTTTCTCTATTAAGCACCGTGGCTTTTCGAGGTTGTAGGTCTCCTATCACCTCTCCTGCCATACTCTGTCAAGAAGACATCATGCAGACATTACCGTCTCTGGCACACTTTGGCTCTCTAAAAGCATAACAAGACACAGCAATACCTGCCAGAATAGCCTGGAACAACTTAAGGGGGTGGATTTTGACTGCAAGGATGAGCACAGACCACTTCATTCTTTGTGTGGTTTTACCTTGAAATTACTTTGATCCTGTTTGAGGAACTATTGGTGTCAAATTGTTTTCAGTTTCACTAATGAAGAGTTGGGTATGAGGAATGTCCACTTCTTGTTCTTAACCTCTACCCATTTGTACGATTTTTGTACCACCCAGAGACTGAGAGACAAACAACCATAGACTGTGACGAAACCAGAGTGGATCAAACAGTCAGAGACACTCAGCAGCCAGGCCCCTTGTTGCTGCTCAAGATTTTGGCTCACCTCCCCCTGCAGCTCCTGTCACTGTGTCACTCAGAGCACAGTAGTACACAGCGGAGTCTGACTCTTGGATAGAGTCTTTCTCCAAGTGGAAGGAGGAGGTTTCTTTATTGTATGTGGCTTCAAAACCTTTGTTGCTTTGCTTCTTGTTGGCCTTCGTGGCTCTCAGGAGGAGCTGTGGACCTTTTCCAGGATACTGAACATACCGGAAAAGAGTAGGGTACCCTGTGGTTGAATAAGTACAGTTCATACTCAGCGAAGCCCCTTCTGAGAGCGTCACTTGGCCTTCCATCTGGGTCACTGAGTCTCCGTAGGTTTGTCCTGGGGAAAAATAAAAGAGATCTGTGTCACCTTGAGCATAAAGCCTTGGGATAAAATTATGGTTAAATATTTTGCTGACATAACAGAAGAAAGAATCCAAATTGTAAGAGGCATTTTACTTACCAAGCATTAAGAGTACCACAGTCACTAAGCCTGCAGCAGAGTTCATCTCTGGTGTATCGTCTAAATAATGTTCTTGATTCTTAGCATGAAGAAATGTTGAAGTCTCAGTGAAATGAAATTTCAAAGCCTACATTTCACTCCGTAAACGAGTTTGTGTTAAGAAACTGCACCCCCTGGTGGACAGGGACTGAAATGGGTGCATGTTTCCTAGACTCCTCCAAAAATGAGAAATATGTTCTCATCTCTGACTTTATTTCAGGCACATGTCAGTCGTCAGGTGGCACTTAGAAATCTGAACAACAGCTGTCGTAACCTCTCAGGTCTATTTTGTTCTTAGGACCCCACTTGACACGGAAGTTCTTTAACAGAGCATCCCAGGGTATTTCTGTAGCTGAGAAGATAACAATTTTCTTGAGCTTCTTAATACAGTACTTTATATTCTCATGTATCCATCGTGGGCCAGCCTATAATTCATTGAAAGTCAGAAAAGAGTTTGAGGTTGAATGTCGAGGAATTAGTAAGAAGTCAAAGCATTGTTGAGTGATTTTGTGTTTTGTAGCACTGTACCCCAATATATAAAACACTGGTTGACATTTATTATGTGCTCACTAAATATTTGTCAAATTAAACAAAAGTAATAAATAAACAGTCTTGATTGAGGATTCACTACTATTGGAAATGCAATATTTCCTCGGTCCTAAAATAATATTAATTTTAAGGAATGGTATCTGTTTAACCAAAGCTTTTTAGGAGAAAAAGTTACACTATCTTAACAATAGTCAAATATTCCTGAATTTCAGAATCATTGAAAAGTGAAAAATATGAATCCTAGACAGAAAAACATTATAACTGATGTCACAAAATCCCTGTAAAATGAACTGAGATCAATATCTTATTCTCCCACTATATCATTGACTCCAAGGTAAGATAGCTAACCTATGTGAATAAGGCAACGAATACTAATCTTATACTTTCAATGGCTATCTAGCCTCAAGGATGCTTTCTGCTGAGGTCTGTCTGCAGTATTTTGTTGCCAAACTTTAATCAAATAATTTTCCCCCACAGGGTAGGGAACCTATAAGATGTGGATTTGCATCAAAAGCCTGGGGCATGATTTAGGACCCTCTTCTTTCCCAGCTTTTCAAATTGTTAAAGACACATTAGCTGATATTCACAAGAGCTGATAGAAGAATCGATGTGTGAGTGACCTAAATTACAGATTCTGGGATCCCACCACTAACTTCATGAATGAATTTTCCAGGATTGAGGGCCACTAAGTTGTAATTTCTAAAAGCTCCCCAGGTTGTTTTGTTGCACTCAGCCCGATATCAGCTTACAGATTTCATTTGTGACAACTGTCCTAGACCAAGACCGTCCTCAAAGATCAGGGAGAAAGCTCTGGGATCAGCTGGGAAAATGTTCCTCAACTACACAAATTTTAAAAAACTTGTCTTTTTCTATGAAGTACCAGCAGCAAAAGCAAACACTTCTTTAGCTCCCTTTTTATACCATTTGTTTTAGAAAACAAAACAGAAAACCTCTGAACATTATTGGGATATAGTTCTGGAGAAGGACCCATCTTTCTGTAAGGCCTTGTAAACATTTATCCCCAGACACATAGATGGAAACTTAGCTCAGTCTGTTTCCTGGAGTTCACTCTCTGCAGATTCAGATCAAGAGACTTCATGAGTCCAGAGTCAATGTGCGAATAGTTTGAGATAATATGCTAACAGGTTGTTTATGCAAATGGCACTAATAAAAAATAATTAAATAATTGAAAATTTGGCTCTTTCACTAAAAAAGGAAAGAAAACATTATAAAGGATACACAAACTACAGTTCAGGAGCTCACCACCAGGTAATGACATGAGCATTCCTTTCAAACCAGTTGCCTTTGGGCCACTGATTTGAGCAATGCAGTGTAGCAAGAGTGACAAACTCTTCTAGGCTTCGGTGAACTGCCAAGGTATCAGAATTTCATTCATGGCCAGAGATCACTTTCTCTCTTTTCCTTGTAACTTGCTTGTGAAAAAGGAGTCTAGAGTATAGTTGTTCAAATTAGCCAATATAAATTGTTCTCAAAAATCTAAAAATACAATTGCCATATGACCCAGCAATTCCACTTCTGAGGATATACTCAACAAAATTTAAGGAATTTGGGTGTATACACAACATATTGAGATATCTATATATCCATGTTTCCATCAAAAGTTGGATGCAATCCAAATGTCCATCAGCAGATGAGTGGATAAACAAAGTGTGGTGTATACATACACTGGAATATTATTCATCCTTAAAAAAGAAGGACATTCTGACATATACTACAATATGGATGAACCTTGAGGACATTATGCTAAATGAAATACATCACAAATGACCAATATTGCATGATTCCACTTATACAAGGTATCTAAAGTAATCAAACTCATAGAAAGAGAAAGTAGAATGGTAGTTGCCAAGGGCTGGAGGGACAGAAGAATGGGGTTGTATTGTTTAACACATATAAATTTTCAGTTTTTCAAGATGAAAATTGTTCTAGAGATGGATGGTCGTGCTGGTTGAATGATGTAAATGTACTTAATACCACTGGATTGTACACTGAAAACTGTGAAAATGGTAAAATTGAAGAAAAAATTGAAGACAAACCTTTTTAGATTTCTACTCTACACATCTGCTTACCAAATTCAGCTGTAAGAGGGAGTTACAATACAAGATCACTTATCAACCATCCATTACCACTCAAATTTTAAGGCACTGAGAACATGTTAGAGGTGGATGGAAGAAATTAGAGAGAATGAGTATTTTGGATTGTGGAACACTGATTGAACAAAGAGGGCCTGGAGGTGTGCAAAATGAGCCACATGATGGCAAATCTGCTTCTGGAGGAGTGGTGAAGGGAAGGGCAAGAGCAGAGAAAGAAGATAATTCATGCTCTGCTCCTTCACAGTGTCCCTCGAAGAGCCACTAATTATTGATCACTTTGTGGATAAGACTGGTTGGAGGCAGGAAAGTCTACATTATGGAAGCTGAGCTCTTCCATGCTGGAGGTGTTAATAAGATGGAATGAGCATTAGCATAATGTTTGTCACCCATTAGGCACCTTAGACAGTAAACAAGAGTACCATTAACTCGGCTAATGAATCTAAATTAAACTAATTCATTAAATAGTATAAAACAGCATGATACACAAAAAGAGGAAAAGCACAGAGATTTCATAGCCTTTCTTATTCAAAACAATGCCTGTAACATCATATATACCCAATAAATATTGAACAAATTGGTCTAAAAATCCACAATTCACATGCAGTTTTATTGATTTTTGAGTCAGATGTTTCTGAAGTTCCTTAGTCAGTTATTCTAGCTCCATCTGATAACCAAGTGGCAAATTGTTTATTATGGCTCTTCTTTGTCTTCAATAAACAATTTCAAGCCAATGATTCAGGGGTAAGGACGTTTTTGATGAATGATAACTCTAGACAGGGTCTATGAACCTAGAAAGATATTTTCTTAGAGTGAGTGTTTTCTCTCTAATCCTACACCTCTGCTGCCACAGCCCTAGCCACTTCCTCTCTGTGATGGCAATTCCCTGCCTTGGTCCCCACAGCAGGTGCGTATATCAAGCAGAGCCCTGGGGTTTTGGTACACCTCCTTCCAACACACCTCTCACTGTGGGCTCACTCAGTGCACAGAAATACACTGCAGAGTCCTCGAGCTGTGAAGCTGAGATGACAAGGTTGATGGATTTGTTTGCCTTCTGGAAATTCAATGAGTAGCGACCTTCTGTGGCACTTTGCTGGCTATAGGAATCCTGACGAATAAGAAACATCATCGCCCCACTTCTGGGCTGCTTGTACCAGAAGAGACTATAACTTCTATCACTGGTATCATATGTGCAGTTCAGGGTCACAGCCTCCTTCTCCTGCACGCACATTGCTGGTTGGGCTTGAGTTACTTTCTGGGCAATACTGGATCCTGAAGGAAAAAAAGATAGAATCAGAAGGTTTGGGGAGAAATGGTGTGGGACAAAGAAATTCTATTTTGCACCCTGCTACCCTTCCTTACCAGGGTACCACCAAGACACTGCCTATACCCCTTGTCCTTAGGTCATAGAGGAGGCACAGAGGCCATTCCTACCTAGCAACGTTGAAGCCATGAACATCTTCAGAAGGCTGGAGAACATGTTTGAGTTCTTCCACCAGACAGAAAATATCTTGTTCTTCAATATCACAGCTCTACACTGTGAGAAGAGGCTGACAGGATGAAAGAAGTATTGCTGGGTATGTTCTCCTGCAACCCCAGAACAGGAAACAGGGGTTTCTGGATGTAGCAGGTAAAGTATAAGAAATTGACCCTTAGTTACTAGTATGACGTCATGCATCCTTAATTGTCAAGAATTGAAGAGTTACTCACATTAGAGATCTCACACTGAGTTCTCCAGTGAATCATCAGAAGCAGACAATCCACAGAAGATGGATTCTGACCAAAGATCCTTGAAACAAACATATAACAGCATAAAGTAGATGGCTCCACTCAATACCATTAGAAGAGAATTTTCCTAGATGCTTGGAACCACTGATACAATACTCTCCTTTGTAGTCTTTGTTTTTTGGGTTTTTTCGTGATGAAGATTAACCCTGAGCTAACATCTGTTGTCTCTCTCTTTTTTCTTTTTTTGTGAGGAAGATCAGCCCTGAGCTAACATCTATTGCCAATCCTCCTGCCTTTTTTCCCCCTTTTTCTCCCCAAAGCCCCAGTAGATAGTTACATGTCGTGGTTGCACATTCTTCTAGTTGCTGTATGTGGGACACCACCTCAGCATGGTCGGACAAGCGGTTGTTGCCTCTTTTTGCTGAGGAAGACTGGCCCTCGGCTAACATCCATGCCCATCTTCCTCTGCTTTATATGTGGGATGCCTGCCACAGCATAGCTTGATAAGCAGTACATAGGTCTGCACCTGAGATCCGAACCTGTGAACCCCAGGCCGTGAACTTAACCACTATGCCACCAGGTCGGCCCCGGTAGTCTTTGTTTTTTTTTGTTCCTTTAGTGATATTTACCCACTTTAATGGTAGAATGCTATATGTTTCTAGTTTACCCTACTTTGCTCTAAGTATAGGCTTTATTTGAGGCAATACCCATCCTAATGCTATAATTTGGCTCTACAAAGCCATTGCTAATGCAAGAAAATTGGATATGTCTTTCAATGCCAACTCCTAGAAAAGCCAAAAAATAACCGTACACAAATTATTACTGCTAGAGTGAATCTTCATCAATAAAATTAGCCTTAAAATGTTATAAAAATATCTATTGATAAAAACTTAGGATAGAGTTTGCACAAGTAAACTTTTATACAGAACATGACTCAACCTGATTATATGAGTTAGTCCAACCTTCAACTGTACTTCTCCATTATCGATTGCCATAGTGTTTTTTGAAAACTATAAATTGAGTATCTAAAAGAATTCAAACACTTGATGAGTTATTCCTATAAATTACCTAAAAGTTAAAAGTATCAGGTGTAGTAAAAACTGAAAGTGGTGGCAGAAATGAAGATCATACATATATCCAGTGGATGTGCTTCCGCTAGCTTATATTCAGACTTCTCAAAAGGTTATGTACTGTATGGTTTCGTTCATATTATAGTCTTAAAAAGATGAAAATATGAAATAATAGACCCATGTTTGCCAGGGGTTAGGAATAGGGGCTTGTGTAATTACAAAAGCATAGCAGAGGGGAGTTTTTGAAAGCAATGAAACTGTTCTGTATTGTGATTGTGTGATGGTTACATGGTCTATACAATGTATTAAAATTCAAATTTCACAGAACTGTGCACCAAAAATAGTCAATTTTTCTATATGATTATTTAAAAAATATAAATTAACAATACTGAGATCAAAATGGTGAAATAGGAATTTTCTAGCATCTTCCTCCAAAGAAAACAGATTTTGACAACGACACATGAAATAGAGTGCCTTTGTGGAAGTCCAGGATTCTGTAGGATAGAAGTTCCAGCACACTGTTGGAGCAAAAAATTCCGAGATTGGACAGATTGAAGTGGGTAAAAGGAACAATTTCAGTTTACCCTCATCACCCCTCTTGCAGTCTAGCACAGATCAGGGTCAAGAGAGACCTTCTCCCACCACGATTTTTCCTGGAGCACAAAGTGAGAGTACGTGAGTGAGCACCTGACTTCCCTAGCTGTGCAAGACGCTGCCAAAGAAATTCTCTTCTTTCTTACCCCATCCAGAATACTGAGGTGTGCTGTGCCACCGAGGAGTGGGAGCACCTAAGAGAACAACATCCGGGGCTCTTGGAGGACATTAAAGGGGCACAGATCCTATTAACCATGGCACAGACTCCATTAGGAAGCCCTCCAATGAACTGCTGGGGGCGCCTCCCTTGAAGATCTTCCTAATTAGTTCACAGGCACTCCCAATGCTAGATGCCTCACACACACACCACCCACCCTGTGGCCAGCTTCCTGTGCATGCCAAGAGGGCAGCAAGAGTGAGGCTTTGCAGATGGCTAGGGAGCATGTGCATGCACTGCCAACTCTGCGGAATTGGGAGAAACCACACAAACTTGAGCGGTTAGCACCATCCTAGGAAAAACGAGCAAAAAGGAGGCTGTCAACATCCAGTCTGGCTTCGTAGGATCAAGAGAAGGCCACCAAGTTTGTAGTAAATTGTCCAGAAACAATAGGAAACAAACACACCAACGGTGTGAAGGTTTAAAGCTTGAAAGTGTCTGAACCTGAGCTGTGCACTGACTCTGCACACTTTCCGTTGGGTAAATTCTCACCTAAATCTGATAAAGCAGCTAAACAAATAGTAATTACACCTTCTGTCTTCTAACTTGGTTTAAGAAGAATAAATCAGTAAAATATAAGCCATGCTTCCCTCTCACTCCATTATCAGTCTTGGAGGAAACAAACCAATCAAGAGTCAACTTGCTTCTACTGGACAGGAGCTAACGGTTATAGTGAGGAAAATAATAAAAGCCAATTGAGGTGTTGGGCTACAATACTGGCCTTTCTGGTTCAGATGTTTTAAACCTAATTTAATCTACTGACTTTTCCTACAAGAATAAGCCATGTAGCTGACAACTAACAACCATAATTCACACAAGAGATATCATTGTCATCATACCAATCGCCAATTGTACCCATCCTTAGAAGAATATAGGGGATCTTGAAAACAGCCTACCAGAGTTGGGACAATTAGGGAATTAATTACTTATACAAATTATTTCTTTCTATTGTTTTATCTACAACATTAAAACAAATAACTTTTTGAAAAGAAACTTCTCATAGTAATGTTTAACTTGATTAAAACGTGAAGATGAGGCAAGGAGATTTTTGGAAACCTATTTCTAAATTAACCATTAGTCCAAATATCTTTGTGCAATATAGTAAGAGTTGGGTAAGGTGGCTGATAAACACATATAAAATTTTTTCATATACCCTAGAAAGAAAGATTTTAATCATAACGGCAACAAAAAATTACATGTCTAGGAATAAATTTAATTATCTTAAAACAACAGAGTTTTATCGAGAGAGACATTTATAAATGGAAAGAAATACTATGTTCTTAAATAATCAATCAAATACATATTAAAGAGTTTTTTCTTTCATAAGTCAATTTATAAATTTAATTCAACCAAAAAACTTAAATTAAAATTATCAATAAAGGGCAGAAGTCACTTTTCCTTCATTCTTTAACAAATAGCTACTGATAATCAACTATGTGAAAAAGTTTGTGCTAGGTACTGCAGACATAGCAGTGAATAAAACACAACTCTCCCTAAATTCTATGAGGGAGTAAAAGTGGACATGTTCTTACAAAATTTTGTAAAAGAATATATTTGTGAATTTAATCTGAAGCTCACATTGGCAAATCACTGCTTATCCTAATTTCCCTCAAACACATAAGCAATACATACCATCACTGGGCTCTGAAGGAAAACCCAAGTCACGTTTTCTCAACAAGAACGTGGTCAGAGGACATAGAAAGGGCTTCAAATTTTGCCACAAATTTAGAGAGGAGGAAAATAACTATAAAACTGTAATTTAGGAAAATCTCCCACAGAGCTATTAAAAAGCAGATGTTGGAGAAGACTTGATGAAATGGAGAATGCTGAATTCAAGATATAATACTAAGTGAAAGAAATCATGATACTAATTATAGTAAGAATTTAAGAAAAGAGTAAACTGAATATTAGCAACAAATTATCTGATTATAGAATTATCAATTTCTATTTTTTTGTATTTTATGTATTTTCTATATTTGGCATGTAATAAAGTTTCATAATAAGAAAGGTAATAAATATTACTTTTGAAACACAATATTTAAAAGTCTATTCATAATAGGGATTGTGATGTTGATACCAAGAGGTTATTTATAGGAGAGGAGTCTGAATAGAAAATGTAAAGTCATCTTTAAAGCCTGGATTTCAAAATAAAACTAACTACTATATTACTAACTCCCTTCAAGAATCTGTTAGGCAGCAGTCATCCAACAAAATGTTTTGACCCTTCCAGGGTCATCTTGAACCTAACTTTCCCATCATATGCTTTTAACGTTTAATGCAGTTGATTCCACTTGCAGACAAACAATATGACAAATGCTATACTCGAACGTCTGTCCCAAAGGAAAGGGAGCTGCCCCAGTCACAGGTCTGAGTACAGGTTGCAGGTGTCTGGGAAGCAATGTGTGCTCGTTGCACAGAAGTAGATTGCTGAGTCTCCAGGTTGGGTGGCTGTGATGTGCAGGGAGAGATGTTTGGCCGTCTTATTCAATAAAACAATGAGTCGTTGGTCTACTTTTTTGTCCATATTTGATTGAATGTCTATAATGAACTGGGGACCTTTTCCACGTTCTTGCTTATACCAAGGGATGTAGTTTGAGTTACAGTCTGAATAAGTACAGTTGATAATAGAGCTATTTCCCTCCTGGACACTCAGGGTAGAAGGATGTAGCTTCACATTCTCTCCTTGGCTCAACCCTATGGAGAAAGAAAAAGTAAGAGAAAGGAGAACATTGCCAGGTCATTACACTCCAGAATTTTCCTTTTCTACAGTAACTAGAGGAAACCTAAATAAAGCCAGTCTCTTCTTGGCTTCTAAAGAATATCCACTCATATACTCTCTTTCCCAAATCCCTCAACTCACAGTCCAGCTGTAGCCA